TCACTCTGTAGCCCAGGCTGGCCTTGAACTTTCACTCTTCTTGTCGTCTCAGCCTCACAAGGAATTGGGACAACAGGCCTGTGTCCCCAGGCCTGGCTACCAGAATCATAAACGAAGACATATCAAAGAAAGTAAGTCAATGAGACATTAATACACTCTGGCAGCTGAGATTTTTCTCTTCGTCTTTTGGGGCACTCATCTCTGCTCCCCTCATTAGGACTCCTAGCAGGACATGATCACAAAATACAGATTTCTTCTCTCACAGTCCTCAGATCTGGAACTGAATTTTGTTAACACATCTCTGGGCTCCTTCTCTCTTCAACAGAGAAAACAGGAAACGGTTTTCATTACTCGATGCTGCCCCAATTCTTCTACACAGAGTAAATGAGTCAGTATTATTTACCTAGGAGGTTAATAATGAGTACTTCATGTTTTAAATTCCATCCTGATTTTCTGCAAATGCAGTATTCAGAGGAAAAGAAAGAACTCAGCTGTCGGAACAAACATATGGAAATCATTGATAAATGGACAGAGACTGCTTGCCGTATTTATTAACCAAGCTTGTAGAAAGCATAATTTTTCAACCATTTATTAAACTAATAGGATTGTTTTGGGAACATCAAAGGGTTCTTTATTAAGTCAATAATCATGTTTATCCACTCCGTTATGGGGAAGGCGAATCGTTCACACTGCGTTTACTCTGCCTCATCAGATTTCACTTCTTTTAAATGTCAGCCGTTGATAATTTTTACCAAACAACTCAGGGAAAAAGTCCAAATTTCCACCCAGTTCCAGCCTCCTCTTCAGTATAGGAAAAAGATGGCCACTGTCTTCTTAGATTTTCATTTTTTTTTCTCCTTCATGTGACTTAAAATGGTCCTCCCACATCAAACTCAAATGTAGGTAGTTGGCCATCGTGCTGAGTTCGCCCTTCCTTTCTTCCTCCCTTTTTTTGTTTTCTCTTTCTCTTTTCTTTTTTCCTCCCTCCTTCTTCTCTCCCTCCCTCCATCCCTCCCCCTCCCTTTCTGTCTCTCTCTCCCTCTTATTCCCTCTCTCTTTTTTTCTCCCCACTTGCTTCATTCTGTGTTCATCAACTATCTAGCTACATTTCAGGACTACTTTGCTGATAAAGCATGACCAGGTATGGCATCTGGATGAGTCTACTCTTGAGAGCTGGTGTGGTGCAGAAAATACTGATGTCTTCACAGGTTTAATAGGAAACAAAGCACAACTTCGAAGTTAAGCTGGGAGGTTCTCAAGGCTCTCCATCATTCCCTTGCATGGTGGTTATAGCCTTATGTATTGTTCATATTCTTTTACATTGTGCATACCCATGTGCTATTCATATGTATGCTGTTCATATATATGTACAGTGTTCATACCCATGTATGATGTTTATACCCAGGTATAGTGTCCATATCCTTGTACAGTGTTCATACCTGAGTACAGTTTTCATACTCACATATAATGTTTATAATTGTGTACAGTATTCATACCTGTGTATAGTGTCCATACCTGAGTCGAGTGCTCACATCTGTGTGCTTTTCTCCAATAATGAACAGGCTTCAGCTGTGTAGTTGTTAGATCCTGAGGAAAGACTTCTGAGAGAGGGACCATGAGAATTACTGTGGCTTTTGCTGTGTGTTATCCTGGATCACAGGCTCGGGAGGAGGCCAGCTGTCACATCATGAGGATGCCTAAGCAGCCCTGTGGAGAGGTCTATCTGGCTAGAGCTTGAGGCCTTTTGCCAAGAACCAGCATTAACTTGCCAAGTCCATCAATGAGGTACCTAGAAGTGAGTCTTTCCTCTGCCTTCCAGTCAGGGCTTTGATGGCCATTCTTTAGAACTGTCAAAGCATTTTTAATATGAAATGTATGCCCATCCATCCATTCATTCACCAGATCTCTTTCCCTTTTCCCCACAAGACAGTGATAAATATCATAACATTTTCCCACGTGAGTGTTGGAGTCTGTTTGGTAGAGGTGCTGGCTCTTGTGTCTAAGTCTCTGGGGTTATTTCCATTTCTAAGGCTTGCTGGGGAATGGAAGTAGCTACTAGTTGCCTACAAGTTGATCTTTGTTCTAAGCATTCTGACTCTTGTTTTCAAGCCCGTATCCTCCAGTGGGAGACCTGGAATAATCAGCACCACTTGGCCTGGGTATGAGAGCCCTGAGCTGCAGGCCCGGCAATGGCAGAAAGGGAAAGCTGGAGCCAGATGCTGCTTGGCCAGAAGTCAGTCGAGTCAGTGTTATTTATTGTCTACCATGTGGCTTATCCCATGGAGAGAGTCAGACTGGTGGCTGAGAGTCACATGGTCCCTCAATTTTTAAAAAAGACTCCACTTCTCAGCTCAAGCATCATGCTTTTGTAATTGATTTTTTTTTTTTTGAGTCAAGGGCAAAGATATGTGTTAAGTAACTGCTGACATGTGACAGAAGCATGAGATTCATTTTACTCTATTGGTGTTACCAGTGGTTAGGGTGGGGCCGAGTGTTCCCAGGTTTTCAGCATCTTCTTCAAGAATGGAACAAAGGCATCCACAGATTGTGAAACAGCAAGAATACTTTATGCAAAGCAAAGTGACAGTGCAGGCTGCCACCAGAGTGACAGTGGGTCTCATGAGTGGAAGAGTGTGCAGAGGTCCTGATCAGCTTGTGGAGCTTCCTTTTCTGGGATTCAAGAGAAGGGGGAGTTTGGGTCCTAAGGGGTGTTAGATGGGTGGTTCTTTTGTGATCGATGGGTTTGGATCATGTCAGTGTTTCCTCGTTGTGCATGCCTCTCCTCATGCTACATTTGATTTTAATGATGTGCACACACAATTATGCATGGACACAAGATGGTCAATACAGAATGCTCTTCCATAGTTCACTCAGAGGACACACCTGCCCTTTTAATATGCACCCCAAATCATTTGAGATCAGATTGGGCCTCTTTCCCTCATACCTAGAAACAGTGGGAATTTATTTGAATGGAAACTGTCTGAGCTGGATCATTGTTGGGGGTTGAGAAACTTATTCCATTGTTTGGAGAAGTACGTGGGGCAGCTCGATACAGTGGAGGTCTTGACAGGTAGCTAAATGCATTGTTCAGAGAGGTTTGTGTGTACATGTCGGTAATGGTCTCAGGCTGCCAAGGGCATTATTAGAAGAGGGGTGGGGGTATCAACTGGAATCCTGGGATGCAAAACTAATCCAGTGCTTGTCTGTCTCATCGGAACCCACTTAAATTCTCTGTAGAGTCTTGTAGGCTGTTTGCTAAGTGCATACATTTTCAAGTACTTACAAAATGCCAGGACCACAAATCTTTTTTTAAAAGAAAACTTTTTGTGATGTTCTTGACCTTTCTGGCTCCTACAATCCTTCCTCCCCCTCTTTCTTGAGATTCTCTGAGCCCACAGAATCAACTAAATCAACTAAAGGGCTCGTAGAAGCTCACAGAGACTGAAGTGACGATCAGGGAGCCTATATAGGTCTGACTTAGTTCCTCTGCATATATGTTATGGTTTTGTAGCTTGCTCTTCTTGTGGGATTCCTAACAGGGGGGTTGGGGGCTGTCTCTGACTCTTCTGCCTGCCTTTGGGACCCCTTTACTCCCACTGGGTTGCCTCATCCAGCCTTGACATGAGAGTATGTGCCTAGTCTTATTGTAACTTGTTATGCCATATTCACTAGATATCTCTAGGAGGCCTGCTCTTTTCTGAACAGAAATAGAGGAGGAGTGGACCTGGGGGAGAGGAGAGGTGTGTATGTTGGGGGATGGGAGGAGAGGGGGGAGGGGAAACTGAAGTCGAGATGTAAAAGAAATACATGAAAGAAGAATAAAAAGAAAACAATTTAAAAAAAACTACAGAATGGATGAAGGAGCCGGGCAATTTCCTTTGCTTGCCACATACATTCATTGATAAGTTAACTTAAAGGTTTGTAAAGCAAATCTAATTAGGGATAAAGTTCAAAATAGGTATAATCATTAATGCACATATAGATTTTTAAAAAGAAAATGGCAAAAACATTAGATTTTTATACTCTAGGAATGCCTATTTACATTTTAGTAAATATTATTTTCCCATTTACTACATTGATGTTTGTCTTGGTATTTGGTGTTGTCAAGCTGAAATGCATGTGTATTTATGTAATTTAGTAAGATAATTTCATACTAAATACTCAACTCTTGAAGGAAAATAAAGAAAGAAACCTTTTTATTTTCCCCAAAAAGAAAGTGATTTCCCTGTGAAAAAACAGAGCAAAGTTCAAAGCCAAAAGAGAAAAAATTAAAAACTTTCTACTCATGACCCTTAACTACAACAGATAGCCATTGTTTTGTTGGTTAGAGAACACATAAGATTAGGATAATACCATATATACAGTCTTGTTAGACTTCTGCTCACCAAAGTCTTTCTGAATTATTACTAAGCCTTTGCAAATGCCACTCAAGATGATTGCTTGGTCTATCGTGCCCAGTCAACAAGTTTGCTGATCCATTTCCCTAATGTTATGAGGTGCTAACTTCCTGCAAGTCTTCAACTGAGCAAAGATGCGATGATCACAGAGGGAAATTATTTATCTGTTCATGGAATCTTGAACCTGCAAGGCTGCTCTAGGTGAGCGGATGGCAAAGCCTCTCATTTTGTAGAAGATGAAGAGGACGCATTGCCCTGGTTTGTCTGGGAGCGCACAGTGAAACAGTGGCCGATCTGGGTCTGTGACCTGCATGGTTTTAGCAACTACAAGAAGGCGGAGGTGCAAGTGCACTTTCTGTTGGCAGACACTCAGCTTGATGACACAGTATTGGTGTAATTATTTTGGCCACTCCACGTAGTTAAAAGGATATTTATTTAATGGCGTAACTCACAAATTAAGTAATGGGTAGGTCGCAGGGTCTGGGGAAGGTGTATTGCAATCCAGCGGTGTTCTCCGGAGCTCTGCACAGTCCACCTTTCACCGTTCAGCGTCCCAGCACCGAGAGAGCGCACAGAGAGAGCGCTGGCCCATCCAGCTCTCGGGTCCCCAGGCGCCTCCCCTTGCCCCGCCTCGTAGGCATGACAGTTGCCAGAGTCTCAATGGGGGTTGGAACTTCCAGATCCAAGCTGGAATGGCTACCCACTACAACACAGCCTTTGGCGTGGTAGCCACCAAAGATGTTACCCACGATGAACCAAAGTGCTGGAGCTTTGCATGAGTGTGGACTTACCGGTACGAGAGTCTTGAGTGTGCATGCCTAGCTGAGCCTCTTGTCTGTGAGGTGGGATCCACCTGAGCTTCCACAAACTATGTAAGTACATGTGGCAGGAGCTAGTCTACCATCTTAGTCTCAGATCTCTCCGTTTTCCTAAATTAAAAAATTATTTTATGTGGACAGGTATTTTGTTGGCATGTATGTCTGTACCACATGTGTGCCCAGGGCTCATGGAGGCCAAAAGAGGGTGTCAGATTCCCCTAGGACTGGAGTTACAGACAGTTGTAAGCCACAGTGTGGGTCCTGAGAATCTATCCTGGATCCTCTGGAAGAGCAGCCAGTGCTCTTAACTGCCATATCTCCAGCCCCAGCTTCTTCAGTGAGGGAACCACAAGCATGGAGCTTTTCATGCTTTAGCCTTTTAGGTTCTAATCTTCCTCCTCCTTCTCTTCTCTTTTCTCTCTCTCTTCTTTGTCAGTTTCAAATCCAGTGGCCATCTTGTGTCCTGTGGATGGGAGTTCCAATGAAAACCTCACAGATGAGGTTTGTCTCCAACTGCTCAACCGGGGAGTGAGTGGGTATGTGAACTCAAAGCTATTTGATTGGAGAAAATGAGTTCCCACTACCATAAAGTACATATTATCTTACTGTTGGAGTAGGGGATCAACAGCTGGGAGTTAACTCAACATCTAGAGTAAACTAGCAAGTACTTAGCATGGGCCTGGCTCTATTGAGAGAAAGTTTTGTCCAGCTTCCCCATTGTTCAGCTCTTCCTGATGCTTTCAGCTTCAGTGGGAATTCCCACGGTGTTGCAGTCTTTGAGTTTGACTATATCCCACGAGACTCCACCTAACAAGTCAGAACTGAATATGGTTGACTGTTCAAGGGACTTCTGAATTCTCGAGTACTGTAATAGTAGCACAGGAGATCCCGCTTCGTCTGTTTCCTCATGTGTTTCTAGGCTTGGACTTTTCTTTCTTCCTTTCTTCCTTTTTACTGATTTTTTTGAAATACTTCCCTTGGACTAAAGAAAACAGTACTGAGAAATGTTAATGCAATTAACATTTAGCAATTAACTATTAGCAAATAAAGTTATATTGCGCTTTGATGGCAAACAAGTATAACCTTCCTTGCCTTTCGTGTTTCCAGTTGATTATGTATGACCGTGATTCCATTTTTTAGATCCCAACTAAGCAAACACAGTCTGGGTGGAGGAGAAATGCTAAGGAGAAACAGTCTGCAATGGAAATCTACCAAATCACCCTTCAGTTGAGCCCTGAAAGGATGAAGAAGGTGGTACTGGAAGAACTGTTGGGGATTTCTGTTGAATGGGTAGTCTGTGATGTTGCAACTCAGATTCTGTGGGTTATAAATATCCTTTACTAGGTTCAAGAATTCTTTAAACCAATGTGTGCTGAGCTCTACTGTATATCTGGCAATGGATAAATGTTCTTTCTCTGAGAAAGGCCAGACTCCTGGTCTATGGTTCTTAATACTGGAGAGCAGATGAGGATAGAGTCTGTGAATGAGTGTACTTCTCAAATTTGCTCCATTTTCCACTGGCCCAGGTCAAAACCAGAATCAGATTTACCTCTCTCTCTCCTTTCCCTATTCTCTGTCTCCAAACCTTCAGAAGTTTGGTTGACTCTGCTCTCCAATGTATCCAGAATCCCGCTGAGCATCAACATTCATCTCCGCTTCCTGGCTGTACTTGCCAAGCAACCAGCTGTCCCACACTCCTGCCACTGTGACTTGCCCACCATGATGTTCAGTACTCCCCAAGTGTGAGGCAAAAAACAAACAAACGAACAAACCCCTTTCTTCCAGAAGTTGCCCAGTCTGTCAGGGCAACTAATCCAGCAAATTTCTTGGAAATAAGTAGACTAAAGCATATGCAAATCCTCCTTGTGAAGAGCAGGAGAGAGAAAGAAAGGAGGGGGAAGAACGGAGAGGAGAAAAATACAGAGGGCATAAAAAACTACAGATAACTTTACTCTTAATAATAGCAACAATAAAAAATACCAGAGAGTTGCCGGGCGGTGGTGTCGCATGCCTTTAATCCCAGCACTCGGGAGGCAGAGGCAGGCGGATCTCTGTGAGTTCGAGGCCAGCCTGGGCTACCAAGTGAGTTCCAGGAAAAGGTGCAAAGCTACACAGAGAAACCCTGTCTCAAAAAACCAAGATATATATATATATATATATATATATATATATATATATATATATATATCTCAGAGAGCATAAGATAAACTGGCAACTAATATTATCCATGGGACCTACATGGTGGAAGGAGAGAACTGACTCTAGAGTTGTCCTCTTACCTCTACACACGCACTATGGCATGTGTGTGCCCAAACGCACATGCACAGTAAATAACACATTTTTAAAAAATGTTTTATGAACACTGATCAATAGTAGCATTTAGCAATGGTGAGATCAGTGAGTACTAATATATCTGTTTACTGTCTCAAGACTAAAGTGAGCTAAGGGCTGTACAAGTGGAGGACGCCCACTGCAGCCATGCTTGGGGATACCCACCCCTAGACTCTACTGTGTCTCCTGGTGCCTATGGGTGTGAGCCCTTCTCTTCTCAAACTGGTTCATGACTTGTAGGTTCTGAGGCATTGACTCGTCTGAGATGATCAATGCAATGTTCTACAGTGGACTCAGAGGCTTTGCTGAAGCCAAATGGGGGGTTACTGTCTTGTTTCTTATGGTGAAAAAAAAAAAAGGTTTTACAACACATTGTGCCTTTTGCTGTTCTTGTCCTGTCCTGAGGTTTTGTTTGTCAGTGTGACATGCTTGCTCATTATTTTGGCCCTGCTGTGTCTGCTACCCTTCATCCTTACACCCCAGATAGGTGTTCCAATGTCAACTGTTATCGCCTCTGAATAACTGTATAACTCCAAGGGAGTACCCTGTGTCCCCACATCTTAATTTCCTAGTTCATAAAATGAGCACAGGAACTTAAGCACCTGTTTCCTCTACGTTATCCAAGTGATTCGATTCGTTAAAAGGCCCTTGGAGAGGAGTTTTTCAGGCAATCTTTAAGTTGGAGGCCAGTAAGATAAAGACTTACTGGATTTCCCCAATCCATGTGCTTCTAAAGCCTTCTTGATAGGAATTGCAGGGTTTTGCTTTGTTTATTTGTTTATTTGGAATTTTAGAAATAGGATCTCACACACATCTCAGGTTGTCCTTGAACTTGTTATGTAATCTGAGGATGAAACTTCTGATCCTTTCCTCAAGTGTGGGGGTTAGAGGTGTGTACCACCATGTCTGATTTTTGCAGGCCCTCATTCGTATTAGGAAAGCACCGTACAGGCTTAGTTACATCCCCACCTACAGGCTTTTCTTTTCTTGCCTTAAGATGAAAGGAGATAAAGCTGGTCTTCCTGGGGATTTATGAGAACAGAGTGCTTCTGAGGGAAGCCTTTCCTCTTAGGCTTCACCCAGTCCTCCTTGCTTCCTTAGGAGCCGGGTGCCTCTCCTGGGGAGTGTCAGTTCACATCTTAATCACTTTGTGTGTAATCTCATTAGAGATAATCCCATTCCAGAAGTGTCAGTGTCTTCCCTGCTACAGAAGCATGGATCCCAGTCGCTGGCTTTGGAAATCTAATCCAGTCTGAGCTATGAATGCAGCAGCCAGAGCCGAGTTCTTCCTGACTCTTGAAAGAGAAGGAGGCATCTTTAAAACCATCATCCTCAATCTCCATCAATCTTGACTTCAGAAAGTAAAAACATAACCTTTCATTTGATTTTTGTTTTTCAGTTTCAACGAAGCAAACATTTTTGTTGCTGTTGTTCACTTACAAAAAAATTGATAGGCTTTAATGAGTTAATCTGGCCATTGGGCTTTCATATAGTTGTCCTTTTTTATTTGTGGGGGAAAGGAACTTATACTATTCAAATAAAAGATCTACAAACAAACCCAGAATCTACAGAACAAGCATAAGACCTCCCTTCCTTTCTTCTGCTCTGAACACTGACCTTATAGTGGCTACTGTCACCCCGTCCCAGGATGCTGGGACTGCAGTTCATTTCAAGCCACCACACTTAGCAGCTGAGGGCTAGTTTGAAGAATGCTAGGGATGAGCTGCTCACAAAGCACTTAGTTGTAAGCAGCGGTAAGTTTCTGCAGGAAATAACCCATACAGGGCTCCCCGTTCCTCATACCATGCATCACATTAAATGTGTGAAACAACTCCTATGGAAAACCCATCTCTCTCTGCCATTCCCCTTCCCCCATATGCAACAAATCCAAACCTTCATATTCTTGAAGTGGTGGTAGTGGTGTGTTGGGGGGGGAGAGGCTGAGGGGGTGGAGAACAGCAGTCTTTCTCATTTGATGGTTTGAAAAAAGAAAAGATGTTGGTACCACTCACTGACTGGCTAATGAATAATCAGATTTCACAGCATGAGCGCTGGGGTGGTAATTTGGTTGCACGCCATGCTCCAAGCCCATGGAATAGTGCTTCATTAATGTGAAGACCTGTATAATCAAACAATTAGCAGTCTCTCTGCAACGAAAGCAGCTTTTCATCAGCATATATACTTTGTCGAAAGATGAGTCCCAAATCAGTGGATCTGACAGCAGCTAGACTTTTACTAACACATGACAACGTAACTCGGACAGGACACCATCCTTTTGTCTAGTATCTTGAGCCAAACAGCCAGCAGCAACTTGCACTCTGGCATTGCTGAACAGCATTGAGTGTAGGAAATGCAGATGGGCTGTGCGTCTTCTGGTTTTATTTATATGCACTTCCATTTTGTAGCATCCGTTGTCTGTATTTTACACTCTTCAGGGTTTAGATGCTGGAAAGATGCTGTATTATCACTGGGAAGAACTTTGGTCCTTCTTTTGTTTTGCTCATGCATGGATGATTCCTGTTATCTTCACTCTAATAGAGCTGATTAGCCTCTCCGGAGACTTTGTCTCCACAACTGTGGAGAAAGGGTGCTGTTTTATGGCAAGATCTCTCATTTGCCTTCTTGACTGATTCACATCAAATGAATGCCCAACAGGACTGCTCATACGACCAGGAGGGAGAAACACTGGGTTCCTGGAGCCCCACAGTTTCAAGTCTCTTTCTATCCCTTAAACAAGCTCTAGATATATTGGGTTGATTTCTATGTACTGCTCCCAGTGCTAAGGGGCGATGCATACCAACTCGGCACATTTCTTTTTTTGAAGGTAAAATGCAAACAATTAGTGAAAATGAAACTGTTTGATGATTCGTTTACATATTCCCAATTAGAGGCATCAAACCTTTTCTGTGAAAGGCCAGATAGCATCTATGTAGGCTGTGTAGGTCAAAAGGAGAGTTAAACTCTTCACAGGCACTCGTACAATGATATTTGAAAAACATCTCTTGGCTCGTGTGTTTTCCTGAAACCTGCCACAGGCTGAGGCTGGCTGGTAAGCTATAGTTTGCTAATGCATGCTCTAAATCCCAGGCTTTAAAAACATCTCCCATGACTGAGCAAGTAGCAGCCTCTCTGTGCTGCCAATTCATGCACAGTTGCTGTAGGGTGGGGATAATGGAAGCTTTACAAATATCACATCCTTATGCAATAGTGAAGCTCTATAATGACAATGAAAAATTAGGCAGATGGATAGACTTGATTGTGACCCGAGAGAAACCATGCACTGCCTTGCTATCCTTGGTGTCTTTGCATTGACTGAGGATGGTAGTGGGCTCAGTTCATGGAGGTTGTTAGTAAACTGGTTGCAAAACATGAGTTTTTCCACTCTGTGAGTTTGGTCCCGGGTTTCATTACCAACAATGTAAGTAAATTGGTTACAACAACTCTGGGGAAAGGTGTCCTGATTTCCTGGGGAATCAGGCAACACCTTGAGCTGCTTAGGACAGCTCTGATGGCTGAACTGCAAGGAGACAGTTCAGCCCTGGAGGGCGAGGTATCCCGGACACCGAGCTGCTCAGAACAACAGCTCTGCCCTGAAGGTGTCCCGACACCTGGAGCTATTTAGCACAGCTCTAATGGCTGGAACTGCAAAGAAGCAGCCCATCCCTGGAAGGGAAATGTTTGTGACTTCTCGGGAGAGTCAGGCCTAGAACTGCTTCAGCAGGGAAGGGTATCCTGAATCTTTGGGAAAGTCAAGGTGTACCTGGTGTGATGGAGGATGGTCTCCCCTTAGGATACAGCAATCCTGCTCCTCTCCTGGAGACCCTCAACAGCTGAGCTTTGCTCAGGCTTCACTTAAAGAGGCTTCCTAGCAGAGCTCTGCTTCTCTGGCCTAAGATGTTGCTTCTTTTGTTTGACTCTGCGAAAGGGGAAACCCCTGCAGAAATGTAGCAATCTCCTCCGGCTCCAGAGAAAAGTGTTACGTTTTACCGCCTTTTCGCTCTGTCCACTGAGAGACATCTCAGCAAAGATCTTCTGTTCAGCTCCTCCTTGCTCTGCTGCAGCTCTCTCTTGTTTTGTCCACTGGGGACGTCTCAATTAGGATCTTCTCTACACCAGTGCATGGACATCTTCACACCCAAAAAGCTCTTTTGAG